ATATATATATATATTAAATATAAATCATATTCTTACTTGTGCTAAAAATTATCTTAATGTTACATTTATTAAATGCCACCATTTTTTCCTCAGTATACATACATACAACTTGCAGTGTAGTTTTTTTCTTCTGATGAGTTCCTGTGTTTATTTTTATTTTTCAAGCAAGTGGATTTTTGTTTGATACACTAAAAATCTAGTCAACTTTGTCTGACCAGTTAAAACTATTTTTAAAGAAGGTGAAATGTGTGCATTTTAGGCCAGCCTTTTTTTTTCGTCTCAAATATAACTTCTACAGTGGAATTTTTAATGCGATGTGAACCTACCTTGCCCTGTTAAAAATGTTTGACACCAAATCATTGGTATTTTATGACAACTGCATACTGTAGCTAATCTCTTATATCTCAAAACATTATAACTAACTTGATGGCTTTACCCCTGTGATTGAATAGAAAGATTACATAGGTAGCTCTTCTGAAACTCTTATTAAAATAATTATGTTTTTTGTCTATCATCTTCTTCCCTTGGGCATTTGTTGAGGAAAGTTTCCTGGTATTGACTGGGAGTAGTTTGTCGTAGTAGCTCTAACAAGTTTGTTTTCAGCTGGACCTCATATGCCCAGCATATAACAAAATCATTCACCACTGAGTGTACAAGATAATCAGTTGTGTCGTATATGTAAATTGAAACAACGAAACTTACTAGTACTTACATCAAGTCTACATTGATAAATACTAACATTCTTTTATCACAATTTGTGTATTCTTTTTTTTCATTCTTATCAAACTCCTAGTGCATTTCTTAAACATTAATAACTCCATACTGATTTGGTTACAATTCAAAAGGTCGATAATCCAAGTAATTTCAGGATGCAGGTGATCTTTTTTTCTTTTTATGAGTTGAATTAGTAATGGTCTAATGATATTGATGAAATAGAGTTACCTGTGTTTATATGTTTGACTGCTTTCAAAAATATTTCTCATATATTTCCAAAATCTTTTTCTATGAAAATTGTGTTATAATAGATACCAACTTGTCCAATCCATAATAACTGTATTTCCATTATGGTTCACATTTTCACCTTAGAACTTAGAAAAAAAAAAAGTGTTATCTTCTCAGGAATTAACTCTGATGCTAAAGAGTAGCAGCTGTTTTCCTCATATCTAAGTAATATAGTCACTACTAGAGCTGGGCAGTTAGTAGTTTAACGTATGATATTAAGTGCTTCCAGTCAGTTGCCTCTTCCCTAGTCTGCAGTTCCAAACTAATGACAGTGACAGATAGCCTTAATAGCTTTGCCATAACAAAGACAGGGTGAGTACGTTTGGTGGCAATGCAAATTGAACCCGAGACCCTCGAATCACGAGACTCCCCCTCTTAACTGAACCACCTAGCTGAACAAATTTGAAATTAAAAAGTGAACTTGTAATGGTAAAATCAGGTTTTGATATTTACAGTGGCCAAAGCACAGATAGCCCATTATGTAGGTTTGTACTGAACACAAACAAACATAATGACAATATTTTGATTAGTTGATTTTTTTTTATGACAATTGATGTAAACATAATTTCAATTAATTGAAAACAGCAATGATCAGAAACGAGACACTAAATTTGATTAGTTGATTATTTCTGTGACATTAATCATTTTAATCATAATTTATATTAACTGGTAAGATTACATAATGCTATTCAGTGTAATCGCTGCTTGTAGGTAACCATATAAATTGCCTAGCTCTAGTCACTACATGTGGCAACTTGAAACAGAAAAGATATAATTGTGCCTAAAGGGGTATGACAGTAATAATTATTTCCTATCAAGCCTGTCCAAGATAGAAACAATTGTACTTATATTAGGATTATAGTTGTTGATTTTTTTTTGTCAATAATTCTTATATTATTAGTCTTTTACTAGTCTTTAAGTCAAAGCTTTAATGTATAGATGGGTTCAAACTAGATGTTTGTGATGTAAAAATACTAAATCTGTAGTTTCGAACAAATTAGGAACTCAAATTACCGATATTGACAAGCTAGAATGTAAAATAAGAGCCTCTTATCTTTTCATTTTACTAAGATATTGCTCATGTACTAAATCAAGCACAATGGCACTCTGCCCACCTCTTTCCATTTTTGGAAATGATCCCTTGTATACACTTCTATATATATGACATGAATAACCAATCGGAAGCTCATAATGTCCCCCTGGTGGCTTTCTTAGCCATTTTAATGTACTTGGATGCCATCTCTTTCTTTTGAACCAAGATTTTAATGAGGTAGGTTGTGTCTATAGTCATGTTCATATTTTTTGAGACTGTAATACAGTTTAGTTACTAAGCTTGATAAATTATTGTGGAATTCTGTGCTATTGATATAGAAATTTATGATATTTTGGTAATTTAACTGTATATGTATATAACCTAAAAAAAAGTATTTTGTTTCATATCCTCCACGTGCAAAATTT